TTGGAGAGACCGTTCGGAGGCAGCTGGCGTCCGAAGCGAGTGCTCCGGACAGAGAGGAGGGCCGAAGAAGTTGACGAGCGGGCGTTTTGTTCCTTCGGGTAGACCTTCCGGTCGGCGACCGGACTGTCCTTCTGGCCCGTCATGTTTTTAGACTCTTGGGTCGGCCCACGAACTACATGTTGTTCTCCTGGGCCGAGCCCTGGCGTGGAAGCTGGTCCCCGAGGGACCCTGGGTTTATGAACCTGACACACAGGTTATGGCTTGATTAGTTTTACCCTCCTTTGTTTTGAAAGTTTTGTATGTGAACGACCAAGCATGTGGCCATAGAGGGGTGAGGAGGTGAATGGGATCTAAATAAAAATTCTCATCAAGAACTTAGCCTATATCCAAAAATCAACCCTGAGCGCTTTCTTACCCCAACCCTAGATCACACAAGCCAACAGATGACAAGATAACCTAGAGAAGTTCATAGATGGCAGAGAAACAACACGAAGGCAATACGAGTAAGAAATGAGACAAAACCTGCACGCTCTATGAAATCCAGCCAAGTTGTTTTGCAACATGGCTAGACACACCATTTGTGAAATCTGGCTATGCTGGTTCTGCAACATGGCCAGGCCGGTTCTATAGTTTTCTACCGCCCGAGCCAAGGAAGAAAAATGCAAAACTCTATCAAACGAAGTCCAATTGAGTTGAAACTTTGCACACACCTTCTCTATGAGGAAGTGAAGATATCTGCAAAGTTTCAGCTCCAAAAGATCAAAACTTGGGTATCATATCTAAAAAGAGGCTCTCAAAAATGGGGTTTTCTCCAATTTCAAACAAAGTTGTTTTCTTGGTGCTCGTGCTAAAACTAGTTGAACAAGTGGCTAGATGTGTGAAATGTCTTTGTTTGGTTTTAGTAATTGAGTGACAACCTAGGTAGACTAATATGTGTTTATGTGAGATACACAGGTAATTAGTCCATAGGTACACTTGTGTGAGCAATTCATGCCATAGAGGTGAAATGGCTTGGAAATGTTGCTAGGCTCACACATATGATGAAGGAGCTCATTGCATATGAGATATGACATTGAGTCATGTGACTAAGGTGGAGAAGATCAAGACAAGACTTGGCTTGATGGATCGGTTGCAAGCGTGAAGGGCAAGTTGGAGGCTTTGGAGCGATGGACCGCATGACAGTGAAGCTTGAGCAAGACTTGGCACTGATGGACGAAGGCAACAGGGTGAAAAGCAAGTGAAGTCAAGATTGATGAACCAATAAGGTCATGTGATGATATGAAGTGGATCATATCATTTGTGATATGGTTGGTGCATGTGTTGCATCAACACCGGAGGAGATGTAATGGAATACGCAAGACAAAGGTATAACCTATAGGGAATTTCATTTCACCGATCAAAGGTTATGTAGAGAAGTGCATTACCGGATTTAGGATAGATGGCCATAGTATCAAGAGGGGCAAACCTATTTGCATATTGGTCATCTAGTGCTACTTGAGCGATCTAACTTTGCATACGTGTTAGGATCGAGTGGCGTGGTAAGAGAAAGTGAAAATCCCTTGAAAATACTTTGGAAAATGCTAACGCATGTACACATATGTTGGGACACAATGGTGTTAGCACATGGAAGCAAGGGTGTTGAAGTTGGGCTTGAAAAGATGAAAAACGAGCTCAGAACCCTACTGTTCATGGTCCTAAGGATGGTTCTGAGGCTGAGTGCAGAGCTCAGGACTTGGTCCAGAGCTAGGGTTTGAACCATGTCCTCTGGGTCTAGAGCTAGGGTCTAGACCATGTCCTCTGAGTCCAAAGCTTAGGACTTTGGCTCAGGACTTGGTCCGGAGCTAGGGTCCGGACCATGTCCTCTAGGTCCGATTGAACATTTTTACACTTGTTTGGTGGGCTCAGGATGATGTGATGGTCCAGACCAAAGCTCAAGACCCGGTCCGGAGCACTTTGGTGCTCTTGAGAGCTCTCTGGAGTGCTACAGACTCTAACAAGCATTGGTCTGGACCCTCGGTCCGGAGCTCGATACGGAGGTGCTGAAGCGCGTAAGAAGTTACCATTGAGCTCCAATGGTCGGCATTCGAATGAGGGGGGCACATGGTGAGGATCCATGGTCTAAAACCTATTGTTCATGGTCCATGCCCTAGGTCTGGAACCATAGTCTAGAGCCCTCGTGGCTATGTTTTGAGCAACAGCTCTATTTGGCCTTTGGGCTATAAATAGAGGTGGTGCTTGGCCATGGCTGAGGTTGAGCACCTTGGGGGACTTTGTGTCCATGCTTGAGAGTGCTTGGGAGCCCTTTAACTCACTTGTGCATGCTCGAGTGCAAATCAATTTCTAGTGAGTGATTCTAGTGCATTACATTGAGAGATTACAAGAGTGGCACTAGGTGTTCGAGTTACAAGCCGATGGTGCTTGTTACTCTTGGAGGTTGCCACCTCCTAGATAGCTTGGTGGCGAGTTCTCTGTCATGAAGCACGCAAAAAGATTGTGTGGTGCTATAGAGAAAGATTTGTGAGGGGTGTTGTGGTCGCCCCGCGGGAGCCGTAAAGAGCAACTCTAGTAGAGCGAGACACGACGGGCGACAAGTGGTCCGGCCAGGTCAAGTGCTAGAGCTTGTGGTAAGCACTCCACGAGGGAGAGTGTAACTTGTAGCCACCACTAGCAAGAGGACCTACGGCAACCTTGGAGCTTATCTCAAGAGGGACTGAACCTCAGGATAAAAATCACTATGTCATCATCTTTCCGTTGGTTTGTGATTCCCATACACAAGCTTGTATTTACTGTCATATATATTGTTCTTGTGTAGTTGCTCTTGTAATTAGTTAGCTTGTGTAGCTTGCTAGTTATCTTCTTGCTTGTGTAGCATAGAAGTAGCTCTCTTGTATGACTAATTGGGTTGAGTAGCCTTGTTAGTCACATTGCTTAGTCTATGTAGCTAAGTAATTTGAGCTCTCTAATTTGGCTTGTGTAGCCTTGCTATTGAGCATTGCTAGTGAGCTTAGAAGCTTTTTGCTTTTGCTTACTAGTTTGTGTAGGAGCTCCTCCGGTTGCTTGAGTATTAGTTGCATAGGTTTGTGTGACCTTGCTACTAAAAATTAATTAGGTGAGCTCTAGATAGCACGGCACATTTGTTGCTTAATTAGGATCTTTTTAAGGTGCTTGTGAACTTAGATAGAGGGGGTGTAGTCTTGGCTAGACCGATAGTTTTAATTCCGTATTTGTTTCGGTTAGCCAACGCGTTTAATTTTAGAAAGGACTATTCACCCTCTCTAGTCCACCATCTCGACCCTACAATGTGTTCCCAGGGGATCATAGCACCAAAAGATCAACTCAAAACAGTCCCCAAAACCTCAGATCAAAGAACTCCCAAAAGGATCACAAAAACCAACTGAAATCGGAGAAAAATAAAGGAGATTCAAAAGATGAACTCGAAATTTCAGAGGACAACTTGATTGATTCATCACGAAAACATCTTTACAAGATTAAGTCTAGCCTCCTCTCTTCGTCACAAAAACATCTCTGCTTCTAATTTTCTCTAAGCGAGATCTACTTGGCTAGCCTAAGGAAATAAATTTAGGTGGGAGAGATGGCTATTTTGGGCAGCCACTATCCTTATTTATAGGGCTATTACACATTCTAAGATGACTACCTCTAGGTATTTACCTTGAACCACTTAGCCACGAGGGAAAAATGGTCAAAAATGGATTCCATGCATCAGCGGCCATGAGCCCTTCACGAAGTTGCTTCGCCTCAACGCAAGCTCTCCAATGATGCCATGTGCCACCCTGAGATCCTCACCTGGAGTTTTGAGGCACGAACCTGGCAAACCTACCACCCGCGGTTGTGAGGCCTAAACCGCCAAACCCACTTGGAGTCGCGCTACGCCTCTCCATGGTGTCGACGCGTGTCCCGCTCGTCCTTGACCGTCCGAACACCAAGTGCTTGCGCATCTACCTTGACTTGATCCAATCACCGTCTTGACTTCGATCAATACCATCTTCATCACCATCCTCGCATGTACACTAGCTTGCTTGTCAACATGTCTAAGCGCTAGCTGTCCACGGTCCATCCTCCGGCCCTCGGTTCCTCGGTCCAAGACTTCACGTCCACCCTTCACCGCTCCCGGTCCATTGCATATGGACTCCTGGTTTACCTTCTCCATTGCCGTCAACCGTCTCAACTCTCAACACCTGCACATCACAAGCCAAGAGACATATTGCACAACAACTCACACAATGGTTAGTCTCAAGCACACTGAACTGAAGCTTCAATCCCTCTTGACAACCACTCATGACTCACACATGGGCACATATCCACCATGTGTTTGCGGTATGCATTTGTGGTGCTATCATCAACTTTGGTACATTTCTTCGTGATAATAAAATCTACAATTTTTTAAATTAACTAGTAGTAAATAAGAAACGTTGGCTAACATGCATGTTTGACCCATTCTCCACGACGGAGACGATTCATCTTCCTACACCAGTTATGGATCGGAGCGAAATCTGGCAATCCATTATCTTTAGGCCTTATTTGGTTCCAATTAATTGAGAGGAATCAGAAAACAATCCAATAATAAAATGAAAAGCACTTTCTAGATATTAGTTTCAATTCATGAGATCTAAATAGACCCTTAGAGATGAAATATATATATATAACAAAGCCACAACAGCGGTTGAGTACAACAGTCTTGCAGTGGCCGGAATAAAATTTTCTTTTTCTAAAATATAATCTTACGTTTAGTGAGAGAAAACCATCCAAAATCTCAAGCAACTTTGCATATATAGTAGGAGTATAATGAAAAAAAAAACAATGAACACAAACTATAAAGATACAGGGTGGATCCTTATAACCATATAAACGACGTGCCATAGGAAGACAACTCCCCACTCCGATCCCGTGGCCGAGACCACGCACATTTGGCATGCAGGAGTCGCATGCTGAGCAGAACACTACTGGATGGTGCACCCTCCTTCATGTGACCTTTCTTCGTATCAGCCGTAGTAGGGGTACCTGCTGGGGCACCCGTTGTAGTAGCCGTAGGGGTAGTAGCTAGGCACGGTGCAGGGGTCGTAGTAGCAGCCAGGGCTGGGCTTGCAGCGGCTGCAGGAGCAGCAGCCCTTGCCGAGCCACGCCTCGCAGGCCTTCTCGCACTTGTCCTTGCACTTCTTCTCGCACTTGTCCTTGCACTCCTTGCAGCAGGCGATCTTGTCGCACTTCTCCTTGCACAGCTTCTCGCACGCCTCCTTGCAGGGGTCCTTCTTCTCCTTGGGCTTGTCGTCCTCCACGCTGACGATGGTCGCCTCGAAGCACTTCTTCTTGAGCCTCTGCACGATGCGGACCGGGTCGACCGTCCCGACCACCGTCAGCGTGCACTTCTCGGTGTCGATCTCCATGGACTTGATTCCTGGATGCATGGTGGTCATATCGTCATACATGGCATAAGCCTAGCTAGCAGCTAGCTCCTCTGTCATTAATCCGTGGACAGGTATATATACATTGTTCATTAGATAGAAAGATAGATTGGTACCTTGGTTCTTGGAAACAATTGCTAGGATCTCACTCTTGCATTTTGCGCCAATGAGGTCAGCTTTGAGAACTATCTTCTGCAACAATATAATTAGCAACCAGCAACAGCAAAACATTCAATACGAATAATGATCCATGGCACAAATTCGGAGTTGATCTGCAGCAGAAAATAAAGATATTACTATCACAAGAACGGAACCTTAGACATTGTGATCGAGATGATGACACCCACACCCCTGGGTTGGAAGGGATAGCAGACTGCTGCGTGTGTGTCGGGAGGAGACGGCTCTGCTGGTAGGGCGTAGCACTGAATGTTCTCTGCGAAATCTATGTCCAATCCTAAGCTGTTTATAGGCGGCAATCCTGGAAGTCAACTCGGCGAGACAGCTGCTACTGTCAACACGCCATTGGATGGGACCTGGTCGTAGGATTGTAGGAATGATATACGCACACTTGTGATCCACAATTGCAGTGCAGGAGTTATCATAATGCTGTTTCTGAATGCAGGAGGTTGCAACTGTCTGCTGCACTGGTTAGTCAATTCCCTTGCACTGAGATGTCACTGACTTAGCTCATAAGGATTGGTCGGCTTTTGCTGGTACACATTTTTAGGGAGTAAATAATATGGTTCCCTCATCAAACCGGGTCCGTCTACACGTTGTTTCTTGTTTGTGGAAATGTCAGCCCAATGCAAAGGGTTGTTTTAGTTTGAGTTCACCCAACAACACCCCAACAGACATTTTTAGTTATCAGAAAGTTGGGGGATCGGACACGCATATCCTCCAGTTTACTAAAATATGTGATCCTGATCACACCTTCCCTGGAAGCGTACTTGCAAAGACTAGGAATAATTTCTAAACTTGTTCGCTCGGTCATGGTCACACACTTGTTTCATTTTATAAAAAAAGACTAATAAATTCTTCCCTAGAAGAGGTAAAACTATATTTCATTTTTTTGGAAACATCAAGGCAACCAAACTAAGCTATTTTCTATTATTTCTCTTTCAGGATATGTATAACTCAATAAAATCCCAAAGACAAAGAGGTTGACATGATCTTTTGGTAAGAACTCTAAAATGGTTGCATCCAGTGGAGCATATAAGAAATAAGATCTAACAAAGCACACCCCTGCCCCTATCATATACGCAGATCTTTTATGTGATTTAGGGCTTGTTTGAGATTTCTCCACAAACTTAATTGTGGAGAAGCTCCACAAATTAAAAAAGCTAAAGTTTCTAGAGCACCGTTTAGATGCTCTCATAACTTCACCTTTTTTTTCCTGGAGCAGAATTGTGTGGAGCTACATTTGTTTGGTAGAAAAATATGAAATGGACGTGAAAAATATGGAGCAGAGCAGTACCAGACAGAGCTTTAACTAAGCACACCTCTGCCCAGCATCAATGATTGGTAGATGGTGGTCAAACTTCACTGGCAACAGCGTTAGTTTGAATATAGTATTCATATGGAAACTAACGCATTACTCGTTAGTTTGCTCGTGGACAGGGGCGGATCAGGGTATGCCAGGTATGCACCGGCATACCCTGTAGTTCCAGTAGAGGACGTATACATGTATTTTTGTAAAAAAGAAAACAAGAAAAACATACCGGAGAAGATGATAACGTGGTGGCCGCTGCTACGGCCTTGCCGAGACGGCCTTTTTCAGCCCCCCGCAGCCACACAATGGGAGGTCCACGTAGTCACGCCTTGGAGGATCCTGATACGTACGTATTTGATTCTAGGCTCCACCGCTCCAGGCTCCAACCATCATTCATTGATCCACCCAAATTGCTCTTTTGCTACCTTTTTTTGAGGGGATGCTCTTTTGCTACCTGCTGGCTCTACGTGCACGCAAAACCTAACTGCCTGCAGATTACAATGATTAAAGGGTTTTTTCTACAATGCTTTCCGTTTAGTAAAAATAAATTTAAAAAATAAGATGGGTAATCTTTTAAATGATTGTCTAGTCGATAAATGACACATTTTCTTTGTAGTGGATAAAAATGATATAATCGAAACATTTATTGTAAGATAAATAGTATTGTAAGCCTCTTACTCTCTTTTTATGCCTATTTTACATTTTGAATTATTAGTTTGGCGTTTGAACTATTTATATTATAATTTGTAAATGTTTTTAATTTACTCTTCAAATTTAAGATTTATCATGTTATTTAGTTGACAACGTTTTCATTTGAATTCGTTTAGGAGCCTAAATATTCATTTCGAACCAAAGTGATATAAAATGGGGAGGACGAATATCACAAATGTACACAAGTGTCTTACAGGTGGAGTGGTTAGGTGATGAGCATGCGAAGCAAAAGGTTTGGGGTTCTAGTGTTGGTGGCCGCATGTGTTTCTTGTGCAAAAAATTGCATGACTGTGTGTGGGGTCTCTCTTGGTATTTTTTAAAAATAATTCCCTATTTTTAGCCCATTTTTTTAGGTTTTCTGGAAACCACATCGCTGTTGGTTTTTTAGAATCGGCACTGATGAGCGTCATCATCAGTGCCGCTTTAGTTGTGCCGGTTTAAAAACCGACACTGATGGCCTTTTTGAACCGACAGTGATTTCGAAATCTGTACTAGTGTTCTAGCTTAATCGCTGAATTTAAGGCTTATCATGTTATTAATGCATGTCGTTTTACCGAACTGGAATATGGCTTACCGATGTGAAAATGGTTTTACCAAATTGCATAAGAATTTTTTTGGTGCGGCATACCGTGTGCTAAAATCCTAGATCCGCCACTGCTTGTGGAATATATGTGGCAAAAGTGACGTGTAGCATTCTTGTCGTTCAACTCTAGTTAAGATTTCGTAAAAGGACCACGGTCCATACAATATGCTTATGACAGCATGTGGGGAATTCGGTTGAACAAAATCAATATTCAAACAAAGTAATGACTAGAACACACAATTAATCAAGTGACAGAATGAAACTGAAGCATATATGAAATTGAAAACAATGTTCAAACGAAGCCAAATAAAATCATGTATGAGGCATGACAAGCTACTCCACAAAAAGTTCAAATTCATCTGTGTCACTGAAAGTGGGACAGTGGCAAAATGTTCAAATCCCCATACTATGTACACCAAAACTTTGTGAAACTAGATTTGTTGCATAAGTGTAGAACCGTACATATGAAGAACTTCATAAACTGGGTTCTTGCCTGAGACCTCTTCATCTCTTTTTTTTTAGATAATGAGACATCTTCTTCTCTCTTCTTTTTTTTTACATAATGAAACCTCTTCTCTAACTATGAACCCTTGATTCAGCATTCGGCAACATTGGTGATTGTTGTTGTCATCGTGCATGACGAGGCAAGTAAGAATACTCATGACGCGAGATTAGAACGCTGGAGTGGCTCTGGTAGTTGAAAACTCAGCTCTTTCATTCTAGCTTGGTGACGGTTCAAATATAGCAGCAGCAGTCCAGCATTTCCTGCCTATGAGATCAGCTCTACTCACTGTATTCTGCGTAGCTCCAAGAGAAGGCAATAAGTTTAGCAGTAATTGCAGGGGCGGAGCCAGGATTCAGATATGGGGGGCCGAACACTCACTAAGTGTCGACAAAAAATATATGGTGCCCTCGCTAAATGTTGATGTCGGATTAAAAATTGCGGAATTTGATGTTGGTTTAACCTCTTCATCTTAGAAAATGATATTCCCTCCCTCCTGGAATATGTAGTGCATTATAAATTTTAAAATTTCTACTAAAATATAATGCATTCTACATGGTGTCAATGCTTAGATTGGATAAAGATTGTTAAAAAGAATACCAATTTGAGAAGAAACATCTTAATTGGGGACCTTTATTGAGTTAAATCTATAGCTTTGCACCATTTAAGCTTGTTTATTTATAATCTCTAGTGAATAGGGAGAACTAATAAAAAGTACTAGTGAAAACTATGCAACATTGGGGGGGGGGCCTGCCCGCCCAGTTACTTAACCAAGAATTATGCCTTTAAGTTTCTCTTGTAGAGGCATAAACAATGTTACTGCCTTACACATTGTGTGCTGAGAAAGTCTGAAACAGCGGAAGAATGCAGGAGGACCTTGTTGGAACCTTTGAGAAATAACTGCCAAACCAAATGTCAACTTGAGTACCATGTAACATTGGGTAGGAACTGGTCTTATGATTGACCAATAATGCTTGTATTCGATGTAACGAGATGATTTAGATATAGGTCATATTATTAACCCCTCTCTTTATTACTACCCCCCCCTTGCTCAATGAACCGCGTTCTCAGCAGGTAGCCTCAATGTAGAATTAGGGATACCTGGTTGGTCAGAACGCCATACAAAAGAACTGGAGGGAGTATTTTGCAAGGAGCTACTCCTCCATGTTTGTAAAGGAGGTCCTTTTTAGGCTGTCTTAAGTCAAACATTTTAAATTTTGACTACAAATAATTTTTTTTGGCTGAGTTTGAAAATATGAAAGTGATGTAAGTAGATGCATCTCGAAACGTAGTTTTATAAAAGTATACATTGGCTATATTTTATAAATATTTTATAGAAAAAGTCACGGTCAAAGTTGTTTTTGGACACCGTGTCGATGTCCAAAACAACTTCTTTTAGGGACATGGAGGTAGTTTATATTAATATATAATAATGTGGAATGGAAAATATTCAAGGATGCAGTCTTAAGTACTTCTTTGGCGTAGTTGATTGGTGCACCAGTAACTTCTGCAAGTAGAAATGATAATAAGAAATGTCAACGCATTGCAGCAATGACATAATGTCGAAGAGTTCTATATGTTCAATTGTTTTGCACAAAAACAAAAGCGACTACACATACATTTTAATGTTTTTTTAAAAGAACTTCTAAGGAGTCTATCCATACTGTTTCTTGAAAGGGAAGAAGATTCCATGCAAATCCCTAATCAATAGAATCCTGAAACCCCCTAAGAGGACATACTTGAAAGTTTGAAATTTTCTGAAACGGCAGTGAAACACATGCATGTAAAATTTGAAAACCAAAGTATATTCGCGAGTTATGAAATGGAGAGTACTGTTATAAAAAAATAAACTAAAATATTTCTCAAATCTATGTATAAATACCATTATAAATTAGTATAGAAATAATTCAATAAAAGTGCACTATATGTATTTCTAATTACCCACTTCTACGAGTACTAATTTAAAAATAAACACACTGATACGTGACACCATGTAGATCAAGTAAACATTCGATAAATATTTATTTAATGGTTTATC